TCCTTCCGTGGCCCCTGCCAAACCGACCGAACCAGCGGTCACAGGATCACGGTCAACTCTTGCACCCCATCCTCGCATCCCTCCACTTCACGGCGTAGATGTTGCGTGGCTGAACCCTGAGGAACGGGCCTGTTCAGAAGGGGTCCAGAAGGTCCTCCTCGAGAGTAGAAAGCCATCGACTAGACAGACTTACCTGGCAAAGTGAACGAGGTTCTTCCGCTGGGCAACTGAACGGGGCATCTCCCCTTCACATTCTGCAGTGCAGTACGTCTTCACTCAAGGGGGGGGTCGATTTAAGATACGCAAATTCAGCTACACGAATAGCGTAGCTGAATTCGACGTATCGCAGCCGACTTACCCTGCTGTAGGGACGGCGGCAAAATCGACCTCTGCGGCTTCCCGTCGACGGCGCTTACTCCCACCTTCGCTGGGAGTAATCGAGAGGTCGATTTCTACCCGCCGATTCAGGCGGGTAGTGTAGACCTAGCCTTGGACTAGCTGCTTCAATTGTGGAACCAGGGCCTGGCACACTCCTCCATCAGGGTGCATCTGGTGGCCATTTCCACCTTTCATCTGCCCATCTAGGGGCAGACGGTGTTCTCCCATGACATGACAGTCAGGTTCCTCAGAGATCTTGAGAGACTTTTTCCTCAAGTTCAGTCCCCAGTCCATCAGTGGGATCTCAATTTTGTTCTGTCCAGGTTCACAGGCCCGCCCTTTGAGCCTTTGGCCTCATGCTCCCTGTCTCATCTATTGTGGAAGAAAGCTTTCCTGGTGGCAGTGAAGTCAGCAAGGTGAGTCTCCGAGCTGCAAGCCCTGACCTCAGAACCGCCATACACGGTCTTCTATAAGGTCAAGATCCAGCTCTGTCCCCACCTGGCCTTCCTTCCCAAGGTGGTGTCTACTTTCCACATGAGCCAGGACATCTTCCTTCTGGTCTTCTGCCCTAAGACCCATGAGACTAGTGAAGAGAGGCGCCTTCACGCTTTGGACGTAAGAAGGGCCCTGGCTTTCTACCTAGATCAGACAAAGCCGTTCTGTAGGTCAACTCAGCTTTTCATCTCTACAGCTGATAGGATGAAGGGCCTCCCAGTGTCCATGCAGAGGATTTCTAACTGGATCACCTCTTGCATTTGGATCTGCTATGTGTTGGCGGGAGTCCCTCTGCCACCGATCGTCAGAGCCCACTCGACCAGAGCGCAGGCATCTTCAGCAGCCTTCCTGGCACACTTCCCGATCCAGGACATCTGTCAAGCGGCGACGTGGTCCTCGGTGCACATGTTCACGGCCCACCATGCCATCACTCAGCAGGCCAGGGACAGCTGGGTTTGGCAGAGTGGTGTTGCAATCTACACATCTGTGAACTCCTACCCACCTCCGAGGGGCACTGCTTGGGAGTCACCTAAGCTGAATGGACATGAGCAAGCACTCGAAGAAGACCCGTAACTGGTGTTCTTCGAGATGTGTTGCTCATGTCCATTCCACAACACGCCCTCCTTCCCCACTGTCGGAATTTCCGGCAAGAAGGAACTGTGGGTGCAAGGTACTGGTGGTGGCGAATTGAATGGACATAAGCAACACATCTCGAAGAACACCAGTTACGGAAAGGTAACTGTCTTTTCCTAGCTTCTGATTTGTAGTCATTACTATCAGCTTTCCTTTTATTTCCATTTATTCCATATATTATAGCTGCTTTCACTTCACCTCTAAACCAGGTCTTTTTTTTTTTTTTAATCAATACAGCCTTCTTCCTCAATTGTGGCTTTTGGTGCATTTGGTAAAGTATTCTTTGTCATTCACATTTTTCTGATTAAATTCTTTCTCCCAGCTGAGTTTGCTCATAATTATTTTCAGCTTTTTGAAGTTAGCCCTTTTAAAGCAGTGTGTGTGTGTGTAACCATCACTAGTCTGGACTTTATTCTGTTTGCACATCATAAATGTGATAAAGTCATGATCATTTGTACCTAAGTTACCATTAATTTTTAGTTCTATGATCAGTTCTTCTTTATCTGTGAAGATTAGGTAAACAAAAGGAATCTAACTATGAGGCTGAACTCCGGCACCCAAGAGTGGGGCACTGTGTAATTCAACAAAAAATTTTAAACATTTGTGGAGATATCCCAATCCCATTTTTAAGCGTGTAACTTCACAACCCTACTCAGGGTGCTTCTGATCACTTTGGACACTGTTCATCAACAGCTCACATGCGAAGGGTGGCATAGGAAGCATTAGCACTCAGGAGTTGGTTGGTTACATTGAGTAGAGCTGGGCAACAATTTTTGGACAACACTTTTTTTCACCAAAACATTCAGGTTGACTGAAACATACTGAGAATTCATGTTGAACTAACTGAATTGTACTGGTAAAAAACAAAAAAAATTGGAAAAAATTTAAATATTTTGATTTTCAATTGGAAATGACTATTCCTTTCAAAATTTACTTCTATTTCATTTTTGTTTTAATTTTAAAAGGGTAAAAATTTTCAAACAAAATGAAACATTTCATTTCAGTTTGAATGAAATATTTCATTCACCTGAAACATTTTTTCCAACTTTTTCAGTTTGCTGAAAAATTCAAAAAATTCCATTTCAGGTCAACCCAAAACATATATTTTTTTTAATTTTTCAGTTCATCCAGTGAACTGGAAAACCTGCTATTTGCACAGCTCTAATGAGAGCTGATCCTAGCTATTTTCATAAGATCATATGTGGCTTCTCATTGATGACTAAAGTACTGGAGCTCAGACCAACAGCAATAGAGAAAAATTTTATTTTTTAAATATGAAGATGAAAAAGTGAAAGGAGCAGGAACCTCGTGGGAAGGAGACTGAGCAGGAGGCACCTCCTGTCGAGAAGAGGAGACTGAAGAAATTCATGCACATCCCTGCACACACCCCTTCATTGCACATCCTTAAGAATATATCATATGTGTTCTGAGATAACTGCCTCATTGCATTATTTTCTTGCTATTTTCTTGGGCTGCATCTGATAACCTGCTGCCTCTTCATTCTCTCACTGATGTCCTTACCCACAACTGGGCACTCGTGAAAGTGGAATTTTCACATGCCAGGATGAAAAAAAGTAAATTTCAGTCACAGGGAGATGAAGTCCTGGGACAGAAAGATACTAGATCTTCTCAGTTTCTGTTTGATACTGGTGTTTTGAAAAGAATTCTTAACACAGAGAGATAATATTTGCCTGCGTATTATATATGCATTTGCAATGTGATATGGATTTTGAGCTGCATACACAGAGGCATCACAGAGTAAGGTGGTAATCCTCATCACAAGCCAGGAAATAGCACACATGAAATAATGTGCTCAAGTATGGGCACCTCAGTACCAGAATGCTACAGACAATTTGGAAGAGAGCAACAAAAAGGTATGGATGGATTGACGAGGAGGAAATCAAATAACTACATAAGTTATAGTTTAGCCCAATGACATCTAAGGAGGGAGAAAGAGGAATTGTATAGGCTGGTATAATGGGGTCTGAGCAGAAGTAATGGAATTAAATTAATGAAAAAATAGGCTTATATGAAGAAAAAATTCCTGACAGTGAGATCTCTTTCAATTATTGAGTAATCTCCTATAGAAAGCAGTGAAAGTGCCATCCCTTGAAGCATTTAACTCTTCACTAGAAAAGCACTAGCAATCTGTCATTGATTTAAGATAACCTAAACATCACTCTTCCATCTGTAAGTTTCAATAAAGAAAACCACACCAAATAGAGGCAAAAGTTTATTTTATATACTATATTTCAGAAGCCATTTCTGGAAGGTTTGAAGTTATTATTACAACTAAACATGTCAGCCCCAAAGACTCAAAAAATTCAAGATTTTTCCTGGATTTTTTGTAATATGACGACACAAGCAAGTAGAAGTAAATATTTCAAGTTTATCCAACTAGATATAAAAATTTCAGATAGGCTCAGCCATTCAAAAACTAATGTTCACAATTGTTCCTATTAAATCTGAACTGCTCGGTACAGTGTAATGACTAGAGAAGCAATTTCAGAAAGCTGCTGGAGGGAAGAACCATATAAATGTAAGAGATGGAGGTTATGAAGTATTAACATGATGCTAAATTGCTGCATATCATATTTGCAATGGGCAGTTTACAATCTGTTCATCCTGATGGATTTAGCACAAGGGAGTTAGAAGCCCTGGCTCTGCAATTTCAGTCTCTTGCTGGTAATTTATGGCTAAATTGTACCCACCAATAATGTGTAAGCACAGAATGAGTTTGGTACCCTGATCAGCCCAAACAGCTCCACTACACTCAGAGGAACAGTAATAAATGGAAAGTAAGGAAAAGTTGCAGGAGATAATGAGTCTGAATACTAATGACCTAAGCTGGTGCAAAAATAGGATTGCAATCTATCAAGTAGTATCAAATCCATTTGGTGCTGCTAATGAGTTGTTTAAAAAAATTGGTTTTATAGTTTGGAGCCAAATCTGCACTATTTATCCAGATTTTTCCCTTAACCCATTAAGATCCTGCAGTCTTTGTGCATGCAAAACTCTCATTGACTTCACTGCAAAAGTTCCATTATGTTCACATTGAGCTTCAAGATTTAGCCCGTGATGTGTGACCCTTCTTGCTTCTTCAGCAGCAGCCAGAGAATACACCTTTAAGGATCATTGTCACCTATGACATTCACATTACACAAACTAACATCCATGGTCCATCCAAATATACATATTTTTCCATTTAAAACGGTCTCATGTTTTCACAGAGAATACAAATTGAGTTTCTTCTCAGCTGGAAAGAAAAATTATAGTAAGAATAATCTCTCAACTTTGTGAGTAAGTATAAATCCTGAATAAACCCAAAATAGATATGAAATCTATAGTCTTCCACAGAGGTTGATGCTACAGCACCATATCAGTTTATCCATTGTTCATATTTTAATAGAGTGGTTTTGATGAATACAAAATCCTGTTAACTGAGGTTCCTGGCATTCTTAGCAATAAAAGGTGGCTACGGTAGCCAGGAAGGATGTATTGGAAATGAAGATGGCTTCTTTCATGGTGTATCGATTATGTTTCATACTGGAATGCCTGAAACTGAAGAAGAAACTATTATCAGATAAAAGGAATGTGGGAGAAAAAGGAGAGCCATTTCTCATTTACTTTGTGCAGTGGATCCCCTTATAAAGTATTTAATAAATGTAGTTTTCTTATAGCTTTCACTGTACTGAATTTTCCTTTTTATCACAAAAGAAAAAAAATTCTAATGAAAAAACAGTCAAAATGAAGGACATGCTTCAGACAGGAGCAAGATCAATAGCCCAGGATACCCAATGTAAAGGGGATACAGTGGTCACTACCCACCAACAGGCCTGTACCTAACTGCTCTTTCCTGGCTATTGAGATTCTGCACATGAAAATTTCCCTCACCCAAATAATGATAAAAGATTTCTGTGTGTCTGCTCAGTTGTGTTTTTTTATGACAAGTGAACCCCAGAATCCTTTATGTTGACTGCCAAGGTAGCTCCTCGATGCATCACTGCAGCTGGTGCCGAGGATGCTGGGGGTATTTTTGAGAATTAATAGATGTCTACTGGAGGTGAGTGAGCACAACCGAGGACACCCTTTTGAAAGAGGAAATGACAGAAAAATGGGACCAAATCAACTAGTGAGAGGAAAGGAGCAGCAAACAAGTGAAAGATTGAAGCAGGAATCAAATCCCATCCTTATCTAGGATGCCAGCATACCAAGGGACAGGCTTGTCAATAATTAAATGAGGGCAGCCATTTCCTCATTCGCGAATGAAAGAAAGTCTAATATTCAATGAGTGAGGTGTCACAGCCAGACTTTGGGAAGCTGGGCTGCAGAAAATTATCCAGACCTGATAGCTAGTCCTTATCTCTAATGGGGCAAAGGAGAACCCCATATCTGAGCAATACAAAACTCTGACAATGTCCAGAGCTAAATCAAGTCCATCTTTAGCGCTGAGACGTATCTCATATTCCCACCTTGAGTGACAAAGCAAAAGATGGCCTGCCTCCCATTCTGGCAGTTAACCTGTTTGGGCTCCCAGCTAGAGTATCTTTCTCTCTGTCCTTATTTTTCATTCACATTACCCCATAGGAGCTTTTGGTAAAAAGTGTTTCTGAGGATGGGGATTTGTATTGGCTGAAGCAACTGCTGAGGTGAGCTAAAAAATGATAAATATAAGCAGGAGAGAATGCATCCAAAATTGGTGCCAGCTAATGGAAGGCACCAATTTTTAATCGTTTGTGTAGTGCCCATTGCAGCCAAATCTGGCACTCCTGCAACCAAAGCAATGTAAAGACTAAATCCTTCTTTTAACAGCTTCTAAATTTCTGATGGATCCTAAGATGTGGAGGAAAGTACATTGTGCTGTGTGTGTTTTAAGCAGAAGCTGCTAGTTGTGCCAATATTCTGAAACATACTCAGCAATTTGTGATGCCACAAGCCATATTACACTAACAGACATAATGGATTTTAAAACTTAATTTACATATTAAATCTATAATGAGGCAAAAAGGGCAGAAAATAACTTTTCCATTCTGATATTTACAAAATAAATATGTAACTGATTTGCCTGTAATGCATTCATTACAATATTTGGGGCCATATGCTGACGTGAATCTATGTCCAGAAAGTTGTATACAGCAATCGAGGGCACACATTGCAAAAATGGCTAATTGGCATATTAAATGCTACAGAGACTAAAAGTCACTGCATTCAGTCTCACCAACCCACCACATTTAACTACAGTATTATACAGATATAGCAAAGCAGCACAAAATCTGTATCCCAGAGTATAAAGGGCATTATATATTTTAAGGAAAATCAAAGGGTCCCCATTACCTTAAAAATCATATTTTTGTCTGAATATTTTGCCTATTTTTTACAAATAAACATTTAAGATTCCTAAAACAGACAAACATTAATTTTGTCTCCTCCCCTATTACCAGCATATTCAGTTCTTACATTTGTGATTTATCAGCTTCACTGTTGCACCTGTATCAGGGCCGGCTCCAGGCACCAGCTTGCCAAGCAGGTGCTTGGGGCGGCCACTCTGGAGAGGGGCGGCACGTCCAGCTATTCGGCGGCAATTCGGTGGACGGTCCCTCCCTCCCGCTCGGAGCGAAGGACCTCCCGCCGAATTGCCGCCACAGATTGCGATCGTGGCTTTTTTTTTTTTTTTTTTCCGCTTGGGGCGGCAAAAACCCTGGAACCGGCCCTGACCTGTATAATTAATTAGTCATTTTTTCCTACTGTTTGAGTGAGTCTTTACTCAGAGGTAAGGAAGATGTGATTTTAAAATCACAATCACAAAAACTGACAGGGAAACTGAGACAGGAGTCTACTTGAAACTATTTTAATTCACTTTATTGTTAGTTGCCTATTCTATTAGTGTTCTTATACTGAGCCTATAATCATGGTATCTGAATGCTTTCCAGTAATGCAGGAGGGGCCTGATCCAAAGCCCACTGACGACAGTTGAAAGACTCCTGTTGATTTCAGTGGGCTTTAGATCAGGCCCAACATAGCTAGATTGCAAGGGTCCCTTTAAAAAAAGAAGATGACGAAGATGATCAAAATTAAATAGAATGGGGTTTAGGATTTTATGTAGCTCCTTTCAGTTAATTGTCCAGAAATTACTTCTGCCCTACCACACCTGCAAGGCTCTGCTCCCTCAAGCTACCATTATATTTTACATAAGGGAAGAATCAGGTTCTCTTTTCTGATTATCTTTGCTATAGGAAGTTTAATCTTTCTTATAACCACATCCTCCTTTTGTTTGTCACCCTTAACTGTGCTGTAACTATCTTAGACCTCCGTCCTGCAAACTGAACAGTATCAGATCCTTAGATTGTAACTCCTTGGGAGAGTGACCTGTCTTATTTGACTGTGAAGCCCATGGCACGATAGAAATAATAAATTACAATGAAACCTTGTCCATATCCAAGGGACCTCAAAGCACTTTGCAATGTAAAGTACTGATGGTGCCAGAATTATGTAGGAAAAAAGAATAAACTTTAATGTGTGCCCCACAGTAGCCCTCATACAGCCTTGGACATTAGTCTACTTTATTAAAAGAACAAATATTGGACAGGACACTGGGGTTATCCCCTCCTGCCCTTGGAGCTTTTGTTGCCAAAGAGACAGATGCAGTAAATAAAACATGTTCAGTAATATTGATTTATGTGGTGTGAATTTAATCTAATAACAACTAGGAAAATGAGTGTGCACATTTTTTTTATAAAAGGCATCTCTGTATCCTAGCTGACTTTAGGATATTGCTCTTTTCAGAGGTGAAAGTGTAGGATTTCATTCGTGAATTGTCTGTTTCCTGCAGGGGTCAGCAATGTGTCCGTACATGGACGCACGTATCCATGGTAAAAATGTTGAGGTATGTGATAATTTTTCAAAAAATTGAATGACTGAATGACATAACCCCCCCCACACACACACGTCTGTCACTAAGTACAGTAATTTTGTCATGTGTCCACTGCGCAACAGGGTGGTGCTGACCCTTGGTTTCATGTCTGGTTCTAATTTCCCAAATGATATTTTCTTTTTAAATGTTTTTTTCTGATATGCCTTTTTCATGATCTTTCTGAGAACATGCTGCTGCTTCCCCTTACATGGGCCAGGAACAGAGGCCCAACACACTCTGAGATGGGGGTGCTGTAACAGTTCCACCATATGCTATATCTATCTGTGTTCTTATACTGCATAGGTCACCACAGAGATTAGGGAGACTGGCAACTTGCAGTCAGTTTGTGGTGATTCCACATAGTCCAGGCTCTGTGGGTTAAGAGAGGACATTTTAGAGGCAGGAAAGGGATAGAGTTTGGGAGAAGTCATTCCCCGGGCATATAAAGTATATGGAGATATACCTATCTCATAGAACTGGAAGGGACCCTGAAAGGTCATCAAGTCCAGCCCCCTGCCTTCACTAGCAGGACCAGGTACTGATTTTGCCCCAGATTGCCCCCTCAAGGATTGAGCTCACAACCCTGGGTTTAACAGGCCAATGCTCAAACCATTGAGCTATCCCTCCCCCCGGGACTCAAGGTGTCTGCTCAGTTGAAATCTTCTGTGTTACTATATGGGAGATCAGGCTCCACACGACTTCCAGGTTGAGCCATGAAAAACAAAGTCATCTCCCCAAATCTCTTAGACTGTCCAGTGAATGGGTTTTTCACGGAACAGGATGGTCTGACTCATAGTTAGTTGCCCTCTTTTATCTATTATTTCAGCAATTCTTTGTCTCTTATTCTCTTTTGAATGGCCAGAAAAGGAAACATACCTGGATCACGTACCCCTTCCTATACATTAGTCCTCTCGTGGTCCCAAGTACTGTATTATTTGTCAGTAATTGAAGCTGATAGTCTGACTTTGGTAAACTGATTTTGTGTTATCCTTCTGGTACAGGATGTCTCAAAATGGGGGTCACGAGGTTATTACATGAGGGGTTGTGAGCTGTCAGCCTCCACCCTAAACCCCATTTCATCTCCAGCATTTATAATAGTGGTAAATATAAAAAATGTGTTTTTAACTTTAAGGGGAGGTGGGTTTCACTCAGGCTTGCTGTGTGAAAGGGGTAACCAATACAAAAGTTTGAGAACTACTATTCTGGTATGTTCTGGAATTTGAGGTTCCCAAGATTCCTGCACTCTTCTCAGCTTCCTGCTTTTCTTTTCATTGTAATGGTGAGGGGCAGGGATTATTTGCTGCTGACCAAAATAGGAGTGGCAGACCAAAATACAAGTCATCTCATAGTCACTAACAACAATACTACTTGGTACTTGCAGGGCTTTAAAGTTCTGGATAGTCTCTCTTTGTTTCAGTTTCCCCACCTTTTAAATTAGGGATAAACAATACTGTCGCAGGTTGGACTGGGCCCTCTAAGAGGGAACTAGTTCAGTCCACCTGTGCCTCATTAACAGTCTTTATGGGTCCTGATAGAGGGCAGCTGATCTCTAGAAAGAGCCAGACGGGAACAGGAAACAGCAGCAGGGGAACAACTGCTTCCTATGGACCTCTCTCAGCCCAGTGAGGTAATGGAAAGTGCCACATAGAGGTGGCTGAAGGGTTACTGCAGGAAGCAACTAGAGGCCCAGAACCACAGGCCTGAAGTAAGGAGGGCAGAAACTGCAGGCCAGGGAGATTTTTATTTTGATGTAGGTTGGAAGAGACTTTATATCAAGTTTATTAAGGCTAATATAATAGAACCCCACCAAGGGAAATCTTGACTTACAGCCTTAGATGGTGTGGCAGTCTTAAGGGGGCCTGAGAGAGAATGGGAAACTGAGGCAGACCTGCATTGTCATACGCAGAAGGGGGTGCTACAAGGCAGGCATGCCCTTTTACAAATTGCTATTAAAGTGTTCTGAAGAGAACTTTCTCAACATGTGGGCCTGTATTTTTCCTAGCTGGGTGCTGGTAGGGAGTTTAATGAATGGTAGCAATATTACATGAAAGGTAGGGGTGACCTCCAGCCACAACAGTCAGATAATATGGTGAGGAGTGTCCTGAAATACCACACAAAGACTGGATGAACTGTAATGGGAACTTAGGACACAGACACATAGAAAAGCTGCAGTGCTGGAAGCTGATGAATCTTTATTAAACCATTTGTTACCAGTTGAGTTAACTTCAGTCAGCCATCCTGGTTGTATTCAGCATGTTAGCAGAGATAAACACTGCATAATAGGCCTGATACAAAGCCTACTGAAGACAATGGAAAGACTCCCATAGTCTTCAATGGGCTTTGGATCAAACCCTTCTGCTAGGTGTTTTGGACAGTAATAAAAGCCAGCTTCAGGTGAAAATTTAAAAAGAGCATGATTTGCCAAATTTGTGTTTCCCACCTTAGTAAGTGACAGTCAGATATTGTTTGAGATAAAATCAGAGAGATACTCCGCTCTGAATACATTTAACAAAGAAAAAAGAAAGCAAGGAGATTACCAATGGCAGTAACAAATGAGAAGCCAGGAACAGTGCATATATACAAAAAAAAAGAAGGGGCATAGATTTAGCAGTAAATCTACAGCATTTACCCAGTAGGTCTCTCCTCCCTAGAAAGGAAAAAAATCATTTCAGCAGACATTGCCACTGTGTGTGTGATAAGTTTGTGTCACTGGCTACTGAGCTGTCCCTAACTATTAGCAAGACAAATACTTCACACCAGGGCATTAGCAGGATCTGAATTCAGCAACAAGACTGGGGGTTCATAACAAGAACCAGACACTCATCTGTCTTTCTTTCCTCCAGCTTACTGTTGGTACCACAGATAGCTACATCTTCACTGTTGTTATGGGGGATGCTGAATAGGCACACTTCCCCTCTCAACACTATTTGGCATTTGCTGTGAATAAATTTTACCCTGAGTTACACCATATACATGCACTGAGGCCTCTGCTACCTGGAAATAAGAGCAGGATAGCTGCCTTTCATAGAGAGAGGAATGTATCTGTGAAAACTGGACTGGCAGGAAGCCGCACAGCACAAATTTTCAATCTGCTCCCCAAGAGAGTAACTCACAACACAGTAAAACACCCTATATTCAGAAACAAGGCCCTAAATGCAAACTGCCCAGCCTGGACTGCCACATTTTGCAAGTGCAAAAAGACAAGTCATTTTGCTCTTTATCTCCACATAGGGGAATGAAAGAAGTTAGGGCATACCAATAGCAGCTCATCATTCTTTCCCTGCACATTTTATTCTATGAACCAAGGGAGCATGATGTGAGTCTAATTAGTAATGATACTAAAGTCATATTTAAAACTGACACTAGAGCAAATCTAAAGTGTGGTCTCTGGATCAGTGATATGAATCTGAGTAACAGATACTACTGCAACCTTAGAAAATTCAGAGGGACAGTTCTTAGCCACAACTAAACACTAGACCTAGGCATATGCCTGCACTGCAGAGAAGAGAGAAGTGTCTATCTGAAATGGACAGATGTGTGGGTGGGGATCTGAAAATGAGATGACTACCACTGAGGACATGTATGGTTGGGAGGCGTTCCCATGGGAAGGGAAATGCTGTACAGAGGAGAAGGTGGACAGGGTTCTCAGGAGCGGAGAATTTTCACAGACGAGGAGGCAAATCCACTTTGGTCTATGCAGTATCACAGGACTAGGCAATGGACTAGGACTCAGAAGACCTGAGGTCTATTCTCATCTCTGCTACTAACTTTCTGTGTGTCTTTAGGCAAGTTACTTCACCTTTCTCTACTTCAGTCTCCCCATCTTTACAATGGTGAGAGTGATACTTTTTCACCTTCATAAATCTCATGATGAATGAAAAGCATTACATAAGTGGTCAATATTCTTAAGTATTATATTATCCTGCCTATGACCCAGCTAGTCTCACTCAGAATCAAAGCTCTATGAGTTTGCTATGTCATTAGCTCATCTGTCTCCTACCATAGCTTTTAAAAATTTTACTTCTGCAACTAATTCAGTGTTTTCCATGCACAAACTGATTTCTCTATGGGTCCAACTTGTTAGAGGGTTTTCCCTTCACCCCCTCCCCTGGTTCTTGTCATGCAGACAGAAAGCAGAAGACCAGAAGTCCAAAGTGCAGACAATGCGCTGTTTATTGGGGTTAGTTCCAAGCAAACATATCCACAGCTCTACACCCCAGCAAAGTCTGTTTCCCAGTGTCCCCCTTCCCAGCTCTGACACCGCAGAGCCTTGCCTGTGTCCCCGTCCCCATTCCCACCTCCTCAGCAGGCCCAAATATACCTGCAGTGCACGCCCCTAGTCACACCCCTAACAACTTATGGTCATGTTCCATTTCGGAGATTGCTGGGTTGGGGTCTTCATTCCCATTCCCTTTTATACCCCATGCAAGGGGTAAGAAGTGAGGTTGTACTCCGGTCAGGGGCAGGCATTTCTCTGGTCTTTCAGTGTTTTACCTTCCCCCCCAATTCCCCTTTGCCCCTCCTGACTGGTTGCTTGACCATGCCTTGAGATAAGGAATTGAGGCAGTCTTCACATGTGCGCTCATATTCCCACCATGCCCAGTGCTTATCTTTTTCCATTATATTAACAAACCCATCTGGTTTAGGCAAAAGCAACATTTACAGTGTGTCTTTGTTCTTACTAAGAATCCCTTTGTTCACACATATTAGTAAAAATGTATATATATCCAAAACCAAAGAGGCAAGCAGAACTCAGCAAAACTACATTGACACTAATACTCCTAACACACCTGAACTATTGAAGTCAAACTGTATTTTAGCAAATAATTTTTTTAGGAAAATTTATGATTAAACCAAAAGTATATCCTTTCTGTAAGACTGCAGACTTAATGTATGTAAATAATGAAGGATCTTCTTAAGCTTCTATGGAAGTATCTGTAGGCCCCTTTCTTCTATGCAGCTTTGTATTAGTATTTTGTTTTTACTTATTCAAATATGATCTATTTAATTTTCAGACATTAAAACACCTTTCAGTAAGTATATCTTTTTAGACTTGTCTCTGTCTCCATTACTATTGAGCCGGCACCCTATATCCAGATGTTTCTGAACTTTGAGGAAGTTTGAAAGTAAATCTGAACTCCACAGTTGGCCCCACCTCTGATTGAAACCCACATCTTCAGTCATTTCTGCTGACTGCTGTAATGTGGTCAGAGTGGACTGATGGTGGATTTCTTTGCTGTTTGAATTTGGTCAGCAAATTATTTATTATTTCAAACACATGGTTCTTTTCAGGACTCGTTAGCAAATTGTTTCCCCTGCTGCTTTCTCTGGTTCCCATAGCCTCACTCCTTGTCAGAAACAACTGTCAGCTTGATTCTGAAATCCAGGACACACTACTCCACACCATAAAAATAGTGCAAACGTTTCTGCTAAAGTCTTCAGGGGCACACAGGGTTTAACAGACTAAAAGATCAGTTTATTGATCAGTCTTGGTGCTAAAAGAAAAATTGATTTTGTTTTCCTGCCATCTAGCTCTCGTGAAACATATTTTCAGGTTCGCCATCTCCTGCATCTTGGCCAGAAGTACAATGTAATTTATTTAGAGTACATATTGCATGTGGTCAATCTGTTGATTTTAACAATTGATGGGAAAGCAGAATCATCTGAGAGGTTTAAGGTATTTGTTTACCTCCTACGCCTGCTGAGAATGCTCATGTTCAGGAATTGCAGGCAATATCTCTGCTGTTTGTGTGATAGCTGCGGGTCTTCGTTGGTTGGGCTCTGTTAAAAGAGAAAATAGTTTTAGTCCACATTAATAAATAGCAAAAACATCTGAGGAATGTTACACTTCAGGCACCTAACTCCCATTTGATTTCTATGAAAGTAAGGCACCTAATTTCTTCAAGCACATTTTAAAAAATCCCACTATTAGGAGTCTAAGTCCCATTGAAAGTCAGCTGGATTTAGGTGCTTAAGTCACTTAAAAACTTTTGAAAATTTTACTCAGTGAAAATACAGAAACATGTTTAGTAAGAGCAAATTCAGGGCTAAATCAAGCCCTCCTACATATAAAGCTGTAGATTAGCTAGCGGGAAGCAGAAAACTCTGTAGCTTTCAATCTGTGGACTTTCCAGAGCATCATCCATATGGAAGGACTGAACAACCACCCCACAGAGGTAAGGGGCATGATTCAAAGGCTATTGTGGCTACAGGGGGAGCATGGAGTGCTCCCAGGAATCACACAGTTACCGACATATATCTGCAAGTGGTGGAGGCAGTGAAGGGGTACAAGGACACCCAACAGGCTGGCATTGGAGCTGCCCTATAGCCAGGGCCGGCTCTGGCTTTTTTGCCGCCCCAGGCAAAAAAGTCTCCCGCCGGCCCCCCCCCCCAGGGGAGGGCGACAAGCCCCGCCGGGGAGAGCGGAGCCCCAGCGGCCAGAGCACCGGGGGGAGGGCGGCGAGCCCCGCCAGGGCTCCGCTCTCCCCAGGGGCCAGAGCGCAGGGGGGACGCCGGCGAGCTCCGCCGGGGCTCCGCTCTCCCCGGCGGTGAGCCCGGCCAGGGCTCCGCTCTCCCCCCGGCGGCCAGAGGCTGCGCCGGGGGAGGGTGGAGAGCCCCGCCGGGGCTCCGCTCTCCGCGGCAGCCAAAGGCGGCGCCGGGGGGAGGGCGGCGAGCCCCACCGGGGCTCCGCTCTCCCCAGCGGCCAGAGGCTGCGCCGGGGGAAGGGCGGCGAGCCCGGCCGGGGCCCCGCTCTCGGGCCGGAGCGCCCCGCCGCCCCCCTCCAGGTGCCGCCCCAAGCACCAGCTTGGTGGGCTGGTGCCTGGAGCCAGCCCTGCCTATAGCCAAGACACCTTAGTAAGGCCCACATAAGGAGTCTGAGCCATTAGGAAATGGAGGAATTGGAGCTTGCTGGGAGATCTTCATAAGCTAGCACTCAAGAGATCAGCATTATCTGATATGATACATTTTTTGCAGATCTGAAATGGGATGATGTTGTAGATAGTATCTTAACTCCAGAGCCACCTGCTCCCTGCACAGCCACAACCCTTCCAAACTTGCAAAGGAACTGCTATATGTTCCAAGGAGGAGGACAAATTATGCTGCTTAGATTAAGCTACATCCTGTCCAAACATGCTGTCATAACTATAAAGGGAAGGGTAACAGCTCTCTGTGTACAGAGACTCCAAATCCTTTTACCTGTAAAGGGTTAAGAAGCTCGGGTAACCTGGCTGACACCTGACCCAAGGACCAATAAGGGGACAAGATACTTTCAAATCTTGGGGGGGGAAAGGCTTTTGTGTGTGTTCTTTGTTTTAAGGGGTGGTTCGCTCTTGGGACTGAGAGGGACCAGACATCAATCCAGGTTCTCCCCATCTTTCTAAACAAGTCTCTCCTATTTCAAACTTGTAAGTAAAAAGACAGGCAAGGCGTCTTAGATTTACTTTGTTTTCTCAACTTGTAAATGTACCTTTTACCAGAGTGTTTATCTTTGTTTTGCTGTACTTTGAACCTAAGACAGGGGGGGTCCTCTGAGCTCTTTAAGTTTGATTACCCTGTAAAGTATTTTCCATACTGATTTTACAGAGATGATTTTTACCGTTTTCTTTAATTAAAAGCCTTCTTTTTTAAGAACCAGATTAATTTCTCCTTGTTTTAAGATCCAAGGGGGTTTGGATCTGTGTTCACCAGGGAATTGGTGAAAGGTTTCTCAAGGCTTCCCAGGGAGGGAATTCTTGTGATGGTGGCAGCGGACCAAAGCTAAGCTGGTAGATAAGCTTAGAAGTTTTCATGCAGGCCCCTACATTTGTACCCTAAGGTTCAAAGTGGGGATACAGCGTTGACATGGTGGCACAGCGGTGGAGATCGTTTTAGACCCAAAAGCCAGTAAGAGATTTTTTTTTCCTTCTAGCTGCTTGGAGAGCAGAGCTGAAGGTAGATGCATATCTTATCTCTCCTTGCCTGAAGGCAGAGGTGTTAAGTTTTTTTTAACGAGGTCCTTTGTTAAGAGAAAGGTTCAAAGGGAGCAAACTTTGACTGACTGGTAAAGATAATTTACAAGTTGAATTGTTTTTTTTTTCTTTTTACATCCTCGGAAGTAGCTAGTTAGAAAGTCTCTGTTCACTCAGCAGCAGCCAGAGCTAAGTACATCCCAGTTTCAGTCAACTGCAGAGGGGTGTGACCCAGCACAAGAAAACAGGAAAATGACTACCAAAGAAGAAAAAGCTAAAGAGGAGGCCCACAAGAGAGCTATGGAGCTGAAAGAAAAAGAGATAGAGCTGAGAGACAGAGAAGAGAAAGCCAAAGAGGGGGCCCACAAGAGAGAGATGGAGCTGAGAGACAGAGAAGAGAAAGCCAAAGAGGAGGCCCACAAGAGAGAGATGGAGCTGAAAGAAAAAGAGATGGAGCTGGAAAAAGCCAAAGAGGAGGCGAGAGAAAAAGAAAGGAAGCATGAACTGGAAGCAGCAAGGGCTAAGCAGGATGCATCAGACCATCCTAGCAACTCCTCTCCAGGTACCACTTCCCATCCCAGGAAATTCCCCACCTACAAGGCAGGCGATGATACTGAAGCCTTCTTAGAAAATTTTGAAACGGCCTGCCTTGGATACAGCATCCCTCCACCCCAGTACATGGTAGAGCTGAGACCGCAGCTCAGTGGACCCTTAGCAGAGGTGGCGGCTGAAATGCCTAAGGAACACATGAACAGTTATGAACTTTTTAAAAACAAGGCCAGAATCAGAATGGGGCTAACACCTGAGCATGCCCGTCGGCGGTTCAGAGCCCTAAGGTGGAAACCTGATGTGTCATTTACCCGACATGCCTACCACATTGGAAAAAATTGGGATACCTGGATATCAGGAGCAAATGTTAAATCTACGGAAGAGTTGCCCTTCCTATTGCAAATGGAGCAGTTTTTAGAGGGTGTTCCTGAGGAAATAGAAAGGTACATCCTAGATAGGAATCCCAAAACTGTAACCGAGGCGGGGGAGATTGGAGCCAAATGGGTGGCGTTATTAGTGAGAGCTACTAAAGACAAAAGATTTCAGAGACAGATTCCTTTCCTGAGGGCAGGGCCGGCTCCAGCATTTCTGCCGCCCCAAGCAAAAAAAAAGCCATGATCGCGATCGCGATTGGCGGCGGCAATTGGAAAAGAAAAAAAAGCCGCGATCGGCGGCGGCAGTTCAGCGGCAGGTCCTTCACTCCTAGAGGGAGTGAGGGACCTGCCGCCCCCGAATTGCCGCAGGTGCCGCCCCTCTCCCTTGGCCGCCCCAAGCACCTGCTTGTTAAGCTGGTGCCTGGAGCCAGCCCTGCCTGAGGGATGAAAATAATGAGCTCATAAATACATCTTCAGAAGTTAGCCAGCTCTCTAAATGTTGGGAATATAAATTGTATTCCCAAGAGTGCTCAGGCAGACAGGAAGCTATCTGTTCTTTTCAAGGTAAGATTGAAATGCCACAAATTATTGGATTGTAGAGAGAAATTATTGAGGCTCTTGAACTGCTGAAGAAATTGGCAAGACAAGGCTATTGCTAATATGCTGAATGAACAGTGAGGTGCCCAAGTCTAGACAGTTTAAAAACTATTTTCCCATTTGCCAACTTTGGATTTTTTTTTTCTTTTTGTCATTTACAGTTATTTCAGAGGACTCCTGGTTTGTGTTAATCTACAAAAAGATAAGGAAATCAAATTACATGGAATTTATTAAACAGTATGGTTCTTCTAGTAATATCAATAATACTCTGAGCCCAGGACTATTCTTTCCCTTCTTGCAACAAAGATATTTTGACCAAGTTGAATAACCTCCTCAGTTTAGTATGTTGGTTATCACTCAACCCTGCAGTGAGTTGAGCCATGCACCAGAGTCTCCCTGGGCTGAATAATAATGTACATTCAGAAGGTCAAATACTGATTCCTGCCTGAAGCCATATCAATGGGTTCTGTGCAGATGGAAGGAATGGAATCCAGAAAACCTGCACAGCCATTTCAAGTTGCTACTATAGTTTTGAATCTATTCTTTAATGTGGGCTTTAGTCAAGATGAGCTTGCATAGTCATAGAGCCTCAGGCCACAATACCTTATCTGCCAAGGCCCTGATGTGGGATGCAATACGTGACAAGGAACCAAAAATGAGGAACACAACAAAATTATTGATGCAGGAAATTTAAAAGCTGTGGCAGCATTCCCTTAGCGCACATAAGTCTTTCTATAACCTCAGTTTCACAGTTCTTTTTTTCTGATATAAATAATTTTCAACAATAAAAGTGAGTGAATGCCATCTTTATGTGGGAAGGAGATAACTTTGGAACTAAACTGTACGCCTTCACGTGACTTGAGGGACATTTTACAGGTATGCTCCGAACTCCAGTGCAATGGCACAAAAGAAGAGTAGAGTCACCCTGTGTGGCCTTTCCATGCCTAGGATATGCCTCACAGTAAGTCACACCAGTGTATAAGGCCTTCTATGGTGATTCAGAAGGCTGCAGGATTTGACCCAGAGTTATTTCCACATGACATGGGGATTCATTTGTTTGCTAGCCCATTTAATTTGTTCTGAGCTGAGAACAGAGTGCTTGTCAGTCAAGGGATGACACAAGTTCTGCTTTTATACAGATGACTTCCTCTCTTTGTAGACAATCCACGCTATCCCTGCCATACAATTGCTTTTTAATTTCTTGTAGCAAGGTTATGTACCTGGCCTGCCCACTCACATTGATTTCTTTCTGCCGGATTTCATTACAAACACTAGAGGCTTGTGACTCTAGCTTTCAGTGCTAACATCATAGTCCTAAACTGCTGTAACAGCAGTACTGGTAACAAAGTGATTATAATGCCCCGTTCCCCTCCCCTTTTGCCTCTTTACAGGCCCCTGCATGTGAGGACATTCACTCGAATGGATTATGTCTTCTCATCTTCTCAATCTGCTTTCATGCAAGAACAAATTCCCGCATTCCTGTTCCTGAACCAGCTCCTGTACATTGGGTGAGTCAGGGCTGTGTTATTCCCCTCCCCAAAACCAATTCCCTGCATAGGAGGGAACAGTTCCCCAACCTTAAGTCATCTCCTGCTTCTTGCCAAACAGGCTTGCAATTCGGTGCTAACAAATGTAAGGCAATACTGCTAGGTATTATAATTATTTATCATAGCATCTAGGAAACCCTGTGCTAGACCAGGATCCTATTGTGTTAGGTGCTGTACAAACACTGAACAATAAGACAGGTATAGGAAATAAACAGCAAAAATACAAATTGGAGGCTGCTAATTAGAAAGCAGCAAATCCATGAAAGACCTATGGGCAGAAGTAAGATGCTAAGGCCCAGATCCTCAAAGGAATTTAGGCACCTAACTCTTATTGAAATCTGAGGATCTGGGCCTAAATAAGAGCATTCAGTGCAATGCAGTGGTTAAACAAAGTTATGGTCTTTTTAGATTTATACATAGAATGCTAACATGTAAAACAAATGTGTGTTTCAATTACCCCCAGTTTCAGAAGGAGATACAAAATCTAGAAAAAAATAAATAACGGGGCAACATACTAGGATTAGAATATATGAGGAAACCTGAGATAGCTAAATATTTATCATCTAAGAAAGAGGTGATTCAGGAGGGATATTATTACAGTCTGTTAAATTGTACAAGTTAAACAAAATACATAAAGGGAGTTATTCATAGTCTCAGGAGATGGCAGAACAAGGAAAAATGGTTTGAAACAAAGGAAAGAAGTGTTTAGACTACATATTAGGAAAACATGCTTAACTATGGCTATGTTCTTCCTGCTTTCTTTGAAGCCAACGGCAAAAATCCCATTGACTTCAATGAGCATAGCTGAGTAAGGGAGAAGATTAACAAGAGAAGTGGTCACGGTACCATCGTTGCTGAGGTCCTAGAGCAGGACAGAAGAGACATTGTGAAAGATGTAGTGAGAATTCTACAAAATATAGGGATTAAGACAGGATGTCTTAGAAGGTCTTTCTTGGCCCCTCTCTTTGTTTCAGAATTCGTTAGGTTTTTATTTTGCTTATATATTACTCACCTGAAAGGAGCTGAATAACATTAGTAGGTGTAGATTCTTTTGAGCTTTTGCTGTCTTTTTGTTGGATAACAGAAGCTGCCGTTGCTCTATATTTGCTATCTGATTAAAACAAAAATAGTTTATCTTCAGCTGTATCATTACATATATATTTCTCATTACCGGGGAGCTCATAGCAACCCCTATATTTAGGTTGCCTAACACTTTCCATTATAAAAGAGCCTTGTGACTTTTTTTAAGTTGCTTTAATGCCTTCATCGTTTACAGCAAGACTGGGAAATTGGGCCAAGAGAAAACCTTGGTGCCAGATTTTTCATTGTCCAGTGAAATTCCATTCAGGTTTGGGTTTTGAAAATTATCTTTTCCTTTCAGACACTTATGTACCTCAGGATAACTTTGGAAGCCTCCCAAAATATTAACTGAACATGAATAGTCTAATCTAAGGGCAGGCCCAAACCACTGCTAAAGCAGAAGCATCACATATTGCACTGGGAGTTCTGGGGGCAGACAGTCTGTCTGGGAGCAGAAAGAGAAGGAGTCAGGCTGAGCTTCCCCCTAACATTCCCTCCTCATGGACCCAGCAACCTGTCCTCTTCTATGAGAGCACCACATGGAGAAGGAACCACACACACCCCTCCCAGGGGGAAATGGAGAGAGAGAGAACTGGGCAGAGCTACCCTTGACCACCTTTTGGATCCAACACCTGATCTTAGCAATCATTCTCCCCTATGCCCCATCAGGACAAAAGCCTGCTCTTGATATAGGCTGATGTGGTTAGTTCTGTAGTAAAACTATATTGCAATGCTGATGATTCAGAGTTCAACCCTACCAATGAAGTGTTATGGACAGGGCCGGCTCCAGGCACCAGCTTAACAAGCAGATGCTTGGGGCGGCCAAGGGAGAGGGGCGGCACCTGCGGCAATTCGGGGGCGGCAGGTCCCTCACTCCCTCTAGGAGCGAAGGACCTGCTGCTGAACTGCCGCCGCCGATCGCGGCTTTTTTTTTTTTTTTTTTAGGGTGGCTGGCCGGCTGGAGCCGGCCCTGATTATGGATGGTTGTTACAGTTCTCTAATAGAATTTGGTTTTACCTTTTAAAAAACCCTAGGGAATTATATCCACAATTAAATTAACCTTGTTTAGGTTGCAAATTCAAGCACTCCAAAGTAGAAAAATGGGAGAATCAGGATTGTATAGTGGATTAAGCTGTTTGTATGAGCCCTGCCCCATTTGAAGGTATGTAGAAAGGAAGGCAAAGAGAATACAGAAAGGATTGTCTTCAAGTCAAGATAAGTTCAGTTCTATCTCTGCCTTTGCTGCAGTATTCCTATATGATACCAAAAGCACTAAAGCCAAAATTTTGGCAGATAGCTTCTAATTGTATGTTCCACATTTTCTGAAACTCCAATTAAAGACATGTAAGATTTGATATGCAGAAGTGCTGAGCACTCATAACAGCAACTAAAGTCAATGGGAGCTATGGATGCACAGCAGTAGGGCAGTCTGGAGGAATGACTGGAAGGTTGAGGGCCAGAAGTCCTGATTTTTAATCCTGGCTTTGCCACTGATTCATTTGTGGCCTCAGGCAAATCTTCATCTCAATTTCCCCATCCATAAAATGGGAATACTAATGCTCTCAATCTCACGTTGGAGATAAATTCTGTAATGTTTGTGAGACACTTAAATATTATGGTGAGGAGAACCCTAGAAAAGCCTAGAAGGAAATGAATACTTCTGTATTAATTGCATGCTTTGAATGGTATACAGTAATAAGGCAAGAGCTACTAACTGAATTATGAGGATAAAAATATTGAACAGTTGCTCATTCCCTGAGCACTGTCCATCCTGTGCACTGAATGAGGCTTTGAGGCGACTCCTGGGAGGGACACGAGGGGTCAAGTGCCCCTCCAGCAGCCGGCCCAGGTGGGGAGAGGAAGGGGCAGGGCCAGAGCCTCTTCCAAGCACGCTGCCTGGTGCAGCACAGTGCCTGACTGGGAGCGCACCTGGCTGCAGCAGCAGCAGCAGGCTGCCCCCCGCCCAGGCTCAGCTTCTGGGGACAGTGGCCAAGTGAGTCGGAGGGCCCACCCCTTCCCCTCCCCTGCATGCTCAGAGTCAACTCCTGTCCCCAGAAGTCAAGCCTGGGGAGGTAACAGGCTGCCGCTGCCACCCCTCCCTGCCCAGGCTCAGTTTCTGGGGACAGGAGCCGACTCTGAGCATGCTGGGGGGCAGTGGGGAGGCTCTGACTCACGCAGCCGCTGTCCGTGAAGCCAAGCCCGGGTGGGAGGCAGCCTGCTGCCGCCGCAGCCAGGCACTCTCCCAGGCAGCTGCTGTATTGCACCAGGCAGCATCTGGGAGTGACTCCAGGGTCGGGCTGTGAGCAGCTGAACATGCCAGGGGGGAGCTGGCGCAGCAGGAGGACAAAGCCCTCCACCCCCCCAGGTAACATGGGTTGGAGAGGTCACATGTCCTCCCCTTTATCTGGTGCCCCCCCCATACTAGGGGGAGCACCAATCATCTAGTATGTAATTAAAGACTGTATAATAACGCATATGCACAAGGGGGTGGAATTCAGATTGGAGAGGCAATCTTAAATTCTGGCATTTTCTAACTTTTGTGTGGTTGACTTTGCAACCTTAACATTCTTTTAGTGTGGGCTTTTATGAAATATAACATTCTACATTTAACTAATTAAAATAATTATCAATTAATAGAAATTATAATTCGAGAATCAAATCAGTAATTGGAAGCTTAGAAGCTTGAAAATTTAAATAATATTTTTCTTCACTGATTATGTCCTTGAAAATGCTGAGAAACTCATAATTGAAGATGGAATGAGTTGTTTAAGAATAAATACAAAAAAATTGTTTAATTACCTTAGAAATTTATGCATTACCATCACAGGTTATGATCCAAAGGCTATAAAATCTTACTCTTAAATCCTTAAAATGCATAGGTAATCTTAAAATTACTATTAAAATATTTTTAATATTAAACTACAAGATATAATAGTTTTAGTTTACCTGCTAGGACATGAGTTCAGGGCTATGTGTTGTATTTTTTTTTTTTTTTTTTTTTTTTGGTATTTTAAACAAAGAATGTAAAAAACCTCTGACTCAGGTTCTGGCAAGAAATAAAAAGATAAAATAATTTTCTAATGATATAGTTTAAAATATATTCTTTTTTTTATTTGTAAATTCATCCATGTATTCTGCTTCAGATTTAGGATCTTAGACAACTCTAGTGCTTATTCATTTAAATAATCTTTCAGATTCCTTTAAATAGAAACATTTTCCATGCATTTAGTTTTCTTCCTCTTGTTCAATTATGATTAAAGCCAGAATCCTACAGTGTACCTTTATTACAGAAATGGCTGACAGTGCACAGAGTTAGGATGGCTAAAGGCACATAAGTGATATCATTTTAGCCATATGAGTAATAAAAAATTCTGGCTTTGCTCAGTTCTGGAGCACTGGGAGAGTACAAAGCTGTAACAACTGAGTGCTAGTTCTCGGAGGCAACCTGGATGCTCTGGACAGATGCCTTAGTGAGCACTGTGTGGTGGAAGCTTGCTTACTAACTCTCCTTACATGCTGGTGAAAGGAGCAGTATGTTCTCCCCTCCGCATCTACTGGTCTCAGAGTTCTGGTAGTCACACAGAAAGCAAAGGCCAGCTGGCAACACTCCTTCAGTACAGAAGAGTGTTGCTGGGTGCAGGCATTATGTCAGTTGCCCAGAAGTCTAGTTCTCAATGGAGTGCTGGCTTTCTAGGCGGGAGGTAGTTCCCTATGTAGCCTCTACTCTAACTGATCTCACTTGGGAGCAGCCAGTATTTAGCTAGTAGTGTTGAAGATACTGTTTAGAAAATTATTTTGGTCATTGAACTCAAGACAAACTCTTCTGTAGCACAGTAAATGCTTTTTTAAATACTCAAAATGCATACATGGTGCTGAATTAACAGCACTGAACAAGTGCCGTCTGGTCCAAATTCAGCTTCAGTGTAAGCAAGTGCAACGCAGTTGACCTCTGTGTCACTGCACCAGGGCTGAATTTGGATTATCAGTCTTCAGAACAGGCAGCTGCCGTGAATGCTTCATCATATCTACCTAATTTGCCTCAATCCTAACCTTCAGGGATCATCTTTAGGAGCAAGAGGATATTTCAATTTCTATGCCTATTCAGTCTTTGGCTCTTCTGTTGAGACTCTGAACAAAGGCATTAATTGTGGTTTCCTATCTCCGAGAACTGGACTCGAACCATCAGCTCATTTCACATAGGCTACCAGGCATCAGTCAGTTGCTAACATATTTCAGTCACTGCCAACCTGTGCTGGATTTGAACCTGTGATCCAGTGGGGAAAGATTACATTATCAATCTGCTGAGCCTTCTAATCCCCCATCTGCAATTATTTTAATTGTATCACATATTACAACTAAAACATAATTCTTTAAACTGCTTTAATAAATAAGGGCGTAGTCTATTGCAAAGCTGAATGTACATTTTAAAAATTATAGGAATTTAAATTTATATAGCTTCACCCTTCATTACTTACGGAAGTGTTTTTTATTTTCTTGGAATACTTTGTAGGTAACAGTAATGACAGTAAGCACAAAAACAAATGGAATCAGAACAAGCCAAATGATCTTCGGTATACACATTGTATCTGTTATAAAATAAAATAGAGAAGAGATAAAATAAAGCAATACATAATTATTTTTCTGTCATCCATCATTCTATCTAGATATCTATACCATACCCATCACCAGGGTATCTCAGTGGCTTACAAATTTAAAAGAAAAGACAAAACACCTTTGCCTCTCTCTTCCCTCCCCTGCTGTTCAGAAGGAGGGTTGTCTGGAATTAAGTTTCATGGTTGCAGTAGGGTTGTCTGGAATTAAGTTTCATCTTCATCTGGATGTATCACAGTGCATGTCTGAGATAGTTAAGTAAAATATGGGAATTAACAACTCATGTATAAATTATATGTGACTCTGTCAATGAGAAGATACTGCAAAAATCAACATCTACATGGGGGTGTGATATAAACAAAAAAGGGGCATATGTTTTGATGAGAAATAGAAGGAACATGCGCAGCGTACAATGTACACCTGTTCTTGTGTCCACAACCAGATAGTCCAACTGCATATGCATAAGAGGGAGGAACATGGTGCTTATGGAAATCTTCTTGCTTATGCAAAAAGGGAGAAGAGTGCCACTTCCAAGACCACCTCCTGGGAAATCCCATCTATTAGGGCTCTATTGAGAGAAAGCATCTTGGGGGCAGGGCAAGCATGGGAAGGAGGCTGTTCTCTGTGGAAATATCTGCTGCAGAAACCCACGAGTTCCACATGGAAATCTCTTCAGTAGCTAATATCGTTTAGAGCTGTATTAACTTCCTCTGGGTCCCCTACTTAGTTACAACTGAGAAACCACAGAGGAACCCAGTAAGTAACAAGATGGTTCCATTTGGTAGCTCCCAATTCTCATGGATAAGCTGCCCCTGAGAGGCAGCCTTATGCAGTTACCTATGTGTTCCCCTTCCAAAGGCCAGATTTTTATGGCTCTTCCCCACCTGGCTACCCTATATTTATTGATTTTTATTTCCCTGATGCTCTGGACACCTCCCAAACTTTAGACCTTGTCTTTCTAAGGGAAAAAAATGTTCTCGAGTTAATTAACTTGAGGTAAAGTTCTAGTGAGGACCTAACAGACTGTAGCTTTAACACAAGTTAGTAGATCGAGTGAAAGACTATGAGGCAGCCTAGACTTCAACTCAACCTACTTAATTGTGTGAAAACTGCAAATTGCCTTATCTTCACTAGGATTTTACCTCAAATTAGTTAATTTGAGTTAGCTAATTCGAGTGAAGAACACACCTATTTTTCCCTAGAGAAGACACAGCCTACTTAAAAATCTAGAATTTTCAATACATAAATAAATAATAAACAATACTTGAGTTCACCGATTTTCCAATGGCAAATGTTCTATGACATTGAGTGTGACAGACAATCAGACAGAAAAGACTCTTAAAAGGCCTATGCAGCACCAGAAGAAATTTAAAGAGTTGACAGGCTATCCTCTGGAAAAAGATTGTCTTCACAAGGAGACTGTCTTCACTACCTGGACTAAGACTTCTCCCTGAAGCATACTGGACTTAGAATATAAGCGAAACATTGCATCATGACACTGACATTGCAGCCTGACTTTTTTCCCATTGAAGTCAACAGGAATTTTGGCATTTACTTCAAAGGGAGCAGGACTGTGCCAAAAACTTTGGCAAAATAAACTAATAAAAATAAGAAAAATCAATTCTTGTTAAACACAAATTCAATCAATCTCTGAACTATAAGCCAGAAAAAAGGTTAATCAAAGGCACAGATGTTAGCGCTCTTGGGTTGTTTCCAAAAATATACAGCAAATCTACCTTAAGGTACTATCTAAAGACCATTTGTTGTCCAACTCAGGTGGCCTTTCACTAAAGGGTGATCAAAATTGCACTCAATTTTTGGGAGATACTTTCAAACAGTTGCATATGGTTGCCTATTGGAAATTTTCCTTCCTTAGTGTAAGATTCATATTAGTTCCATGTTTGATTTGCCCTCTGATTCCCTTTTCATAACTTACTTTCCACATAAGGCTGTAGTTGCAGTGAAATATTTATACAGCCATTTTGGTCTTCCGTCATTGCTGCTATACATGAGTGATTTATGCTTTCTTCTGTAGTGTTTCCTCTTCTGGTTGTAGAATTTCTAATGAGGACTTCCAGTATATAGTAAATGTTGTATTCCTCACTTTCTTCATTCACATAACCCACAGTGAAATTGAAATGTTTATGGAAAGAAATAATTTTTTTTGCTTTCATATCTAATGATCCTCTCACTTCTGGAACTACAAATAAATCAAAAACATTAAGATCTGCTATGTAGCACATTGTACTTACAAAATAAAAGTACCATAACTCACTACTAAACCCCATTCCTATAAATAGACGGTAAGACTCATCATTACTGACTAGCAGTAAAATGGACAATAAGATATGTAATAAGCCTTCAGAATGGATCTAAGTTGTATTGATTTTGCTATACAAAATGTGTTTTCCTTGTAAATATTAGTGACTTCATTTACCAGCTGCAAAAGTTTTTTTGGAATTTGTCATTGTCAGCGATAACACAGACCAACACTAAACTAAAAATAAAAATGTGAAAGTTATAGAGGTTTGAGCTAGACATGACCTATTAGGTTATCTAGCCCATCTCCTTGCCATTTCAGAATATTTTCCAGAGCTTTGCCCAGTCCAATTTTAAGTGATTCAAGCTATGGGGCTTCCACCATGTCCATGTCAACAATATAGAACATGTTTTCCCCTCAGTAACATCCATATACCTCTGTCAAAATCAATAGGGTTCAACAAGAGAATATGAGGGCAGAATTTGTCCCATATACTTCTTATTTGGTTATTCTCCAAATCTGTACAGGGAACTAATTTGTAAAAGCTAGAGGATTCATTTTTATGCATGCAGTTTGAAAATAACAACAATATCTTAGACTTGGGCACTTGCTCATTCGGGGTCCTATTCTGGCTTTTGCAGGTGTCACAGAATCACAAAGTCTGATCCATGCTCCAGCCTGTAACTAATCTCCTGGGAGTGACCCCTTTAGTAGGCCAGGCCCCCAGGACCCATACAGTTCCACAGGGGAAGGCCAATGACCTCCATGACTCCAAAACTGAGCCATCGGCACCAGCAATCCCTATCTCTCTCCGTGGCTCCCTGCAATGAATCCAGCCAAGCCAGGGTCCTACAGGAGGCTTGTACAGTACCCGTTCAGGGCGCAGTGCTTTCAGTGAGTGTTTGCAGTGACACAGGCAGCCTTTCGAAAACAAGGTACCCATTTAGTAGTCATCTGGCACACAGAATCTGAAAGTCCTTAGGTCAGCACAGAGAGGCAGAAATTAAGCCATAGTCCAATCTTGGTCAAAGGAGTGCCATGATGAGCCAGTGAAGCTGTGATGGACTCCATTTCTGGCTCCGTCTCTTGTCCCCTCTAGTCTCTCCCAGTCTGGGCTCCTCCAAAAAGCCCCCTTCATCCAGTCACCTGACATCTTGTTCTCCAGCTCAGTTCCCAAGTTCTGCCTGCTGGAGTTTCCTGCTATTACATGTTAATTGGGACATCTCTCTGTCTTGCTGGACCCTCTGTTGATTTGGGTCAGTTTGAGCCAGTTCTTTAATGATTGTATTCATTCCCCCTAGACAGCAAGGTGACACACACACACCTTCTGCCTCCTGCACTGTTCCAGGAACAGTGTTAACACTTTTGTATCCACTGGATAGCAATGCAACATACAGAGGGAACTGAGGCATGCCTAGGATTCATAAACATATTACAGAAAATTCCAACTTTGTCACAGTAGGCGGAGCCCATGTTGAGAGGGCAAAATCCAGAATATCTCCAGAAGCACTAGAGAAGTGCATGCCAGAGAGAGAGGATGAGACCCTCTCTGAAAAGGTGTAGATTCTGACTTCCCTGCTCTGCCCTGGATGGCTGGAAAGAGGCTAGGACTTTTTCAGTCTTGTCCTACTTGAATCATTCAATGTCACTCTGGAACTAAGCACCCTCAATATTGCAAATATTGACACTGATTCTTTTAGCTCTCTGCTACCCATGCACTTGTATAGAGCTAACTACAGTCTACTCTTATTAATCATTATTTGTTTTATTATCCTGTCTTCAAAGCCATTCTTCAGATATTTTCTCTCAATGTCCCCTTCCACCACAGGAAAACTATCTTTTGATTAATTATATTCCATAGTAGAGCTCCACATTGAAATCAATAAGGAGTTCTGCATGAAAACTGATGACAGGAAGGATGCCCTTTAGGGGCAAATTAAGGATTTAAGCAGAATGTATGAAGATGGGAAGGATGGACAGGTGCAAACTTTTAGAAACATATCAGTTAAGGATTAGTGGATGTATTCTGGCTGGCTGCTAGAATAGGTAGAGGGAGGAAAAGAGGATTTCTATACCCTTTCCCATAACGTCACCTTTCTGCACCAGGAGCCTGATACAGAGCCCATGGAAGTCAATGGAAAAACTCCCTTTGACTTCAATAGGCTTTTGATGAGGCCGCAACACAGAAGGCAGGATTTAGCTCTAAATATAAATTCTGCATTCATGACACTGCCTATGTATCTGAGGGCAGAATTTTGCACAAATTATGCACTTTGTAGCAATGCAAAAATAAGCTGCTAAGGCCAAGAAGCTATATTCACACAGTTTTCCAGGAGTTTATGATTAAGGAATCAGTATAAAGCTTATCACATTTTCATGATGGTTTAACTGGCAAAAAAATGAAAAAATCGTATGCAAGTGTAATTAACTACCTCTAAACTAAGCACTTCTTTTCCTTTGTTCTCTTTCTTTACCTTCTGATCTTGATCCCTGGTGAACAACATTCATATCATCCTCGGATTCACAGGTGGAATTTAAAATATATGGTTGCAGTTCAGTCCTGGAGACTTGGCAAATACTTGGAGTATTTTGAAAATCAGAGTAATTTATAAAGACCTTCAAAAAAACAGTCTGTTTTTCACTTCCTTGTTGCAGGAAGCTTTCAGAAGAATTGTTAAAAGCACAGACTGGAAAGGTGACATTATTTAATGAACAAGCATCCATGCATGATATAATCACAGTGCTTGCTGTAAAACAAAAAGAAAGATAGTTATATATTGTAAGGATGGTCATACTGGAAGCACATAGTAAAATATGTACATGTAAGTATAAAGATAGATATCCTTTCACCATGCTACTGTGAAACATACTTTCTCTCGAATTCTGGCAGCATATTGAACATATTGTATAATGGGAGAGCATGAAAGAAGAATGCCTCTCACGTCGTATATACTGGATTTTATTGTTCAATAATACTAAATCTCTTCTGTAACCTGCATTCATAATTGTATCTGGACAAATTCCTCTTCCAAAGCTCTTAGGATTTGATTCTATTTGAAAAAAGATGAAGCCCTTAACACTTTCAGAGGGGAAGTTTGCTCAGAAACCTACATGGTAACAATAAGTCTTTGTGATTGTGTTGGAGAACAGCTGTAGTCAAATTTAAACCTGTCTCCAAAGATAATGCTCTTATAAAGCAAGATTATATATACCTGAAACCTCCACACTACAGCTTTTGTGTACTCTAACACAAAAATCATCCACCAATTTTATCTCCTATTTCACTTCCTTCTTTTTGGTATTCTTTGGTTTTAGCTAGTGTGCATTGATTCAACTTGGACAAGTGATACAAAGATATTCTATTATTTATTATTAAGGAGGAGGATGAATCTCCTATTTTTTCCTACTCTCTTCCACACTAAATAACCATTAAGGCTTTTTTGTACAGCTCACTTTTATATTTGAACTTGTACTTGTCTTAAAATATTTTTTAAAATCTGAAAATAATTAAAGAGCAAAAAATGCTGGTACCTAACACCAACTTCTTAAGAAACCAAATAACCATTCTGTTTCTGCTCATGATATGGGAACCCACACTACAGTAGCTCACCTTCCAATTTAGATATATACTTTCATCTCCATGAAATAGGGTTTTAAGTATCTAACTCCCACTAGCACTAATGGGAGTTATATGGTCATAAATTCTCATGTATAGAGATGAAAATACATCCCTTAACTGGCCCAACATTCATTGTAGCCTGACAGTTGCAATAGGCCATCTGTGCTAGCATCCAGGGGGACTAGCCTCAGAATCAATTTAGTGAAAAATTTCAGACAGGATAAAGAAATGACATCCTACAGTAAATGCAAAGTCAATTACCTTCTCTTCTTTAGTGACAGTAGATTGGAGAGTAATAAATATGTCATAAAAACAAAAACTGCAGTGATTTCTAAAATACCATATTATGCACGTAAAATATAAGAGAAGGATTTGTTCTAATACTATAAAGAACATTTAAAAATACAGAATTTAGGGCCTGATCCTTCTTTAGGCAAATTGAAGGTTGTCTTCTAAATGTCCATAATCTCTCCTCAATTGCACAGTGAGAGAGATGTGGACCCTTGGAGACAAATTCTTATTGTCTGCCCAAGTAAACTCCTAGTAAATATTCTTTGTGCGGATGATCTATGTCAGAATGTGTAGGGGGAGGAAATTAAATTTTCCTTCCCATCCTGGAGCTAGGATGCGGAGCACTGATGCAGCCACCTCAAAGTTATTACTGCAGCTTTCAAGCTATAAATGGCTACTTATTGCTACACATCTTTTACAAAGGTATTCTGTCCATGTAGTTTGTGGAGCTACTGTGTGTGCTATATCAGAGTGAGATATCTCTGTATCAAATTATGAATTCCATTTTGTACTATGTGCTGAACATATAACTAAACTTACCTGAAGGCAGCCTCTTATGTATTCCAGGCAGCTGCTCTACTTGGGGAAGAGGCTTGATACCTCACTGAAACACTATCACTGAGAAGCCATCAAGATTAGAATCACCATATGTGTTTCTTAACTACCAACCCATCCCCCGGAACAATTGACTTTCCTCAAAAGTGGTGGGCATGACTGGAGGGAAATTGGTGGTCCCTAGTGGAGTACATGGAAGAGAGACAGAGGCCTACATAAGAGCAGGAGCTGCTGTGTGCAGGGGAGGGAGAGCAACCATCACCACATAAAAAGGACTGGCAGGCAAGTGAGAGCAGGAGAGACTCTCCCTAACTTAAATCACTGACAACCTTTTGATTCACGAGAAGAGGTGAAGTCAGACCAAGGGAGGGTGTGTCTCAGGACCAGGGGTGAAAGTAACTTAAAGGACTTACCGGTACGCAGGGCCAGGGTCCTGAGTATGGGGTCGGGGCCTCAACCAGAAGGGGCGGGGCCTCAACCGGAAGGAGGGGGGCTTTAAATCCCCAGGCCCTTTAAATCGAGATTTAAAGGGCCCAAAGCTCTGGTTGCAGTAGCGGCTGCTGGGAGCCTTAGGCCCTTTATATCACTGCCGGAGCCCCATGGTAGCGGTAGCTGCAGCGGCAGCCAGGAGCCCCGGGGCTCTGGTGGCGATTTAAAGGGCCCGGGACTCCACTGCAGTAGCAGCGGCCGGGAGCCCCAGGCCCTTTAAATCGCCGCCATAGCTCCAGGACTCCCGGCTGCTGCTGCGACCCCGGAGCTCCGGCAGCGGGGCTCTGGCGGCGATTTAAAGGGCCCGGGGCTCCCAGCCGCTGCTGCCCAGGAGCCCAGGGCCCTTTTAAATTGCCAGCCTGGGGAAGCAGCCCCCTGCCGGTACAGTTGGCTGTGAACTGGCTCTTGCCGGTACGCCGGACCGGACTGGCTTACTTTCACCTCTGCTCAGGACTCCTGTTTTGTTTTCTAAGATCTCTAAGCCCTCTGCTGCTTTAAGAGTAAAGTTTCTGTGGTTAAGAAGTTCCTTTGCTAAGCCTATGTTTGGAGTTGTTCAGGAATTTTCCATCAAAATTATTTTCCAATGGAAAATGCAGTTTGTGCAACACTGAAATTTTCTTCAGGAAAACTTTGATTTTGCTGAAAATTTTCAATTTTCCATCAAGAAACTTGACATTAAATATATCATTTTGGGTTGGCTTTCATTTTGAATAAGTTCAACAAAACATTAAACTGTATTTTCATATTATGTAGCATTATCATATGGGAACTGTTGTTCTGGTCCCTATTCTCTCCTATGGACTGGGCCCCCTAGAGGACCATCTCTCCCATAAGGCAACATGCTGATTTCATTGTGACTGAGAGGTGTGGTCACATGACTTTGGGTGCATTGTGGGAGATGTTTGGGACCTTGATGTCCCTATTCTCCCTTTGGGCCAGGCTCCCTGCTGTGCTATACCTCCCATAATACAATGTGCTACCATAAGAAAATACAGGTTAATTTTGAAATGAAGCATTTGGGATAATTTCAACAAATCAAAATGAAACATTTCAATTGTGGGAGTGTTGAAATATTTTGTTTTGATTTAAAATGTCAAAATGAAATGTTTAGACATTTGTTCATTTAAATTTTTCAGATTTTCCATTCCATGAAAAGTTTCTAAATTTCAACTTTTCATCCTCTTTAGGGACAAAAACAAATGTTGAAATGTCAGAATTTACCACAGATGGAAATTCAAAATTTCACTCAGTTCTGCCACTGTGCCTTGTTCGCTTCCCACATAGTCCATGAAGGGGCTAAACTACACGGGTTAAGCTGAGAAACAATTACTAGACTCTACCAAGATCCATTCAGCTTGGAAGCACACAGGACCCACCGATGGGGTCCACTTGCAACAGACTGGTAACCATACAGTGGGCAAGGTTGTAACATGTGCCCCCACCTGTCTCTGCTGTCGTACCCCCCCCCCCCCCCCACATACACACTCTCATGGAGTTTGCCTTTTGTCTCCTGCACTGCCAGTCCACAACCTAACTGACCCCCTGCTTTGCAGCAGAACTGCACCAGTATTGCTGCTTTATTTATAGATCTTGCATTTCCACAAAAGGGTGGTGACAGGATATGCCTTTTAGTTCATAATGCTTTCTTGAGATAGTGAAATATACTGTAGTTAAGGAAACAAGGATCCACTGTCTCAGACACACAACTACATTAAGGTGGAGTTAAGGTTGAGAACACATATCAGTAAGTTAGGGTAAATATATTACATGCATGTTGTGATTATCATCAAAACAAGCATTGTAGATCCAGGAAATTCAGAGTTAAAGTTAAACTAAAAGAAATCCAAACATGTAAGATATGGAAACAGACAATTAAGGCACTCAAACAGCCTTCATTCTGCCATGTAGTGATGTCATTCAATAGCTTACCATTATGAATGATGCCTATTAGTCTTTGTGGCCATATTAGTCCTTGTCCCAGATTAGATTAAACTGATTTTAAAGACACAGACTGTTTTTCTTGTTTCCCCCCTCCCTCCTCAGGGTATCACTATATAGCAAAGTTAAGGTTGTTTGAGTGCTTTAACTGAGTATTTCTGTACCTTAACACTTAATTTGAAATTGCTAGAAGTTCAGCTGAACCTCGGCAAACATCGGCATGATTCAGGTTTGTAATAAAACTCAGAACAAGAGCAGTCTCCTAAAGAAGATTTTTAACTAACAATGCCCATGCAGCTCTGAGGACACACACAGGGCCAAATTCTAAGATGGTGTATTCTAGGCTGGTAATTCCAGTGTACTTACACCCTCTTACATAAGCTCATAATTTGTTACATAGTTTAGAGAGCATCCAGATAACATGGGGCACCTAGTTTTAAAATTGCTAGATAGAGTTTCGTGGTGAATTCTGCTTCTCATATACTTTGCTCTAAGTCCTCTGAAACCCTCAGTGCAGAACTTAAGGCAGAACTGCGCTTTCTAATTTTACCGACACTGTAGTTAAAATTCAGCAGGTACAAAATGACAAATATGTTGAGGTTGCATCAGTTATACCATGCAGTGTTATCAAACAGGAACTATATATGCAAAAATCAACTAGAAATAACAGATATTACATGGTACTGACAGTAATGTCAACATGTTCTCTTGTAGTAACATTTATGTCATCACTGTATATTCATGCAATCTGTTAAACAATTTGATTACTACTTAGCACTTTTGCCACTTTTACATGGAGGTAAAACATTAGGTATGGCAATCTGTAAACTTTGTTTACACCTTCTACAATATCTGAAAACTTAAAACATCCCACTGATCTTGTCATTTTTATTCCTGGGGGAATTCTGTGCCACTGCGTATGTGCAGAATTCATGTGTCCCGCAGATTTCTTTGCTTCCCCACAGAAAAATGACTTTCTGATGGGGCAAACAAAGCGAAGCCGCAAAACTGGTCATGCGCTGCTACCCAGAACCCCCCCACACTGAGCCCCCTGAACCCAAACCCACACCCCAACAAGCCTCACCCTCTGCTGGAGCCCCCCTGCACCCAGAGACCCCTGCTGAGCCCCACCTCCCTGCATCTGGACCCCACTCATGCACCCAGACTGCCCCCACAGACATATGAACCCCCACAAGCCCTACCTCACCTGCACCTGGACCACCCTGATTATTAGCTCCCCGGACCTAGACCCCCACCCCACTGAGCCCCACCAAGCCAGCACCCAGATCCCACACTGAGCCCTCCATACCCAGACTCCCACCCCTCTGCTGAGCCCTAACCACCTTCACCTGGACCGCTCCTGCAGAGTCCCATTGCCTCTGCACCCAGAACCCCACCCCCAATAAGCCTGTTCATCCAGATCCCCCCCCTGTACCCGGACACCCCCACCAAGCTGCCTGCACCCAGATTGCCCCACACAGAGCCCTTATCACCCCACGCCTGGATCTCCCCACACTAAGCCCTTCCACACTTGGATCCTGCTGGGCTGAGCCTGCCTGTCTACATGGAGTGGCAAGTCTGGGCCTTGCACTGTGTCAGGGTCGGGTGCAGCCTCACCACTGAGTCCATGTCCCGGGGTGGGGGCTGCAGGGTGATCTTCCACCTCTGTGCAGTCAGTGGCCTGTGCTCCCCACTGCCATGCTGGAGCCTCCACATTTATTTATTGACCAATAAAATTTGCAGAATTTTGGAGAATTTTAAAATATTATGTGCAGAATTTTTAATTTTTTGGCACAGAATTCCCTCAGGAGTATCTTTTTGTAAGCTACAGATTGTTATCCTTATGCTTGAGTTAGAATCAATTTAATTCTTGCTTGGTAAATGAAAATATAAATTCAAATTAAATTAACTTTCCTAACTTGCATATATTTTAAGCTTTCAGAGTTTTTACTGAATATCACTTTTCATTAAAAATTAACATAAAGCCTTTCAGGAAAATGAACCATCTTTATCAGATGGACACCTTTCTTGTTATGTTTTTATCCTCAAAGTCCTACTTTGGAATACAGAAGAAAAAACCCTATAAATTATTGTTAGCCTATCTATGGATTTTTAAATGAAGGTATAACAATAAATATATGTTTTATTCATACATTTTCTCATTCTCCCAAATCTCAGTATTGACTTCTATAACCAAATTATATTTGGAATTCATATTAAGAGATTGATTTCACTCAGTTCTACCCATTCTGCACTATTTTGTTTCAGTTCACCATACATACATACTACTTTGATATCTTCAACGGGATTAACTATTTTTCATGTTCTTTGAATGAAAGTATAATACAATAATGTTACAAACATTTTTGTGCCTTTGGGTGCAAGAAGTTCAAAATAGTTATAATTCTAACAAGCAATTACCTTCTGTAGAAAACCCCCGCCAAAGCCAAGAAGTACAACATAAATTAAATGAAAATACCTACAATATTTTTGATTCTGGTATATGTAACTGTTTGACAAATATTCTTCATAATTAATATATATATAGTTAACTATTATAAACAAAAAGCTAATTGAAGTGACGCATTTCATATAAATTTTGTAAAGTTTACTATCAGTAAGAAAATTGCATCACAATCAGCTCCTCTGGGAAAGTACATGTGAATTTTTTAACTGCAATCTGACCTTAAAATAAAGAAGAGCCCACATTCTTTAAAGCGGATCACTCACCTTCATGGGTTTTGAAAAATTCAGGCAAACATACAATGAACATGATAATTATTGCTGTTAATAATTTCAGGAGATCTGCTTTTCTCATAGTCAAGCACATGTCACTGAAGAGCTCTCATCTAGCATACTGGTAGGAAGTTCCTTCCTGTTTTCGTGTTGGTCTTATGCAAAATACTTCTTATTCATTTCCTTTTTCTAGCAAGACTTGCCCTTTTTTTTTTGTTAAATGTTTTGTTACATGAGTTTCAGAGAGCCAGTTTCTCTGGTTACTTACACTAGCATAAATGAGGAGTAAGGCCACTGAATACAATAAATATTAAATGGTATAAGTGAGAGGTAAATCATGCCTAGAAACTAGGGCTGTCAAACTATTAAAAAAATTAATTGCAATTAATCGCAGTTTTAAATTGCACTGTTAAACAGTAATAGAATACCATTTATTTAAATATTTTTGGATGTCTTCTACATTTTCAAATATATTGATTTCAATTACAACATAGAATGCAAAGTTTAGAGTGCTCACTTTATATTATCATTTTTATTACAAATAGTTGAACTGTAAAAAAGATAAAATAAATAGTATTTTTCAATTCACCTCATACAAATTCTGTAGTGCAATCAAATGTAGAATTATTATTTGTTTACATAACTGCACTCAAAAAGAAAACAATGTAAAACTTTAGACCCTACAAATTCTCAGTCCTACTTCTTGTTCAGCCAATAGCGTAGCTGAATTCGACGTATCTGATCCGACTTACCCTGCTGTGAGGACGGCAGCAAATCGACCGCCGCGGCTCCCCCATCGACGGTGCTTACTCCTACCTGGGCTGGTGGAGTACGCGCATCGATTCGGGGATCGATTATCGCGTCCCGACGAGATGCAATAGATCGATCCCTGAGAGATCAATTTCTACCAGCCGATCCGGGTGGGTAGTGAAGACAAGCCCTTAGAGTCACCTGAAAGTTCGAACAGGTATTCACATGGCACTGTTGTAGCCGGCATTGCAAGGTATTTACATGTCAGGTATGCTAAACACTTGTATGCCCCTTCATGCTTCAATGACCATTCCAGAGGACATGCTTCTATGCCAGGGGTGGGCAAACTTTTTGGCCCGAGGGCCACATCTGGGTGGGGAAATTGCATGCAGGGCCATGAATGTAGGGCTGGGGCAAGGGGTTGGGGTATGGGAGGGGGTGCAGTGTGCAGGAAGGGGCTCAGGGCAAGGGGTTGGGGCAGAGGAGGGGTGCAGGATGTATGAGGTGGCTCAGGAAAGGGAGTTGGGGTGCAGGAGGGGGTGTGGAGTGCAGGAGGGCGGTCAGGGCATGGGGTTGGGGTGCAGGAGGGGTGCGAGGTGCAGCAGGGGGCTCAGGGCAGGGGATTGGAGTGAGGGGTGCAGCAGGGAGCTCAGGGCAGGAGATTGGGATGCAGGAGGGGTGCAGGTTGCGGCAGGGTTTGGAGTGCAGGCAGGGTGCGGCAGGGGGCTCAGGGCAGGGGGTTGGAGTGCGGGGTGCAGGAGAGGTTCAGGGTGCGGGCTCCAGCCCAGGGCCGCTTACCTGGAGCGGCTCCGGGGTGGCAGCCTGTGCAGGCTCCCTGCCTGCCTGCCCTGACCCCGCGCCACTCCTGGAAGCAGCCGGCAACACGTCCCTGCAGCCCTTGAGGGCAGGGGGTGGCAGACGGCTCCGCACACTGCCCTCACTGGCGGGTACCTCCCCCAAAGTTCCCATTGGCCCTGGTTCCCCGTTTTATCATGCTTTTTATCATGTGTCCTCTTATTTGTCTTCTTTCTAATGCAAACAATCCCAGGCTTTTCAATTCCTCTTTGTATCAAAGTTTTTCCATGCTTCTAATTATTCCTGTTGACTGATGATGATACTCTTTGATACTTTTGAAAAATAGCAGTAGTTGACTTGGATTTACAGTAAATTCCAACAAAACAAAGTGGTTTTATCTTGGAAAAGAGACAATATATAAAGTCTTGAAATGCAGCAGAGGTGAAGTCATAGAAAAAGTAGACTCTTATGTGTACCTAGGAAGCTTGATCAGTGCTCCATCAAGGATGAGGTTGAAGGGAGATGTGTGCCTTAGCCACAAAGGGACTGGAGCAGGGGATTGAACTAGATGACCTCCTGAGGTCTCTTCCAACCCTAATATTCTATGATTCTAAGTGCTGCATAGAAATTGATGACCTTATGGACTGATGATAACATTGTTTGGTACCAAAATGAAAATGTATCAAACCAGTTGTGACACTTTATGGAGCTACTGAGGTGTCTGGGGTGAATCACTACCACCTACTCACACTGGGAATGGGCCTTTGTGACGCTGGCAACCAGGTGCCAGCTCATGTCAAGGTCCCTAGGCTTCAACTGAACACATAGCTGGAAACCAGTCTGGATCACCTGAGTGTTAGTGTTAAAATAGATGTTAAGTTTATATGAATGTGTTTAGTGTTTAGACTTTATGATATGCTTGTAGGATGCTGCATGTAGTAAACTCACTTATAAAAGCTGTACCCCCCACTATAAAGTTATGGTGCGTGTGTGCATTGTAAACCTCTGTAACTGTGTACCTCACCAAACAGGAAAGAAGCATTAACTAATGTAAAATGCAGGCTTCTACAGAAGGTGTTAGGTCCTGCCCACCAAGAAGGCCCACATAAACCAAATGAGCCATTGTGAAACATCAAAGAACAAAGACTTTGTTGATTGCTCCTCCCCAACACCCATGAAGAAGAGACATGCAGGTGGACTCCTCCCATCAGCTTGAACTCTGTGGGAAGTGGATAAAAATCCCTGACAAGAAGGAATTGTATCACTATGCTGCTTAGACTTGGAGAGGGCAAGATATCTAAGCATAAGCAAGGGATCCCCAGTGCTTGGCCTGGGTTAACCCTAGAGGACTTAGAGCTTGCATATTATAGCAGCTTCTATCACCTTTTGGAACCTAAGACTGTAACTCATTTGTGTGTGTGTGTGTGTGTTACTTGCTTTAACCTTGTAATTCACTTTCATTTCTTTTTCTTAGTTAATAAATCTGTAGTTAATTATAGGATTAGCTACACATTTTATCTTTGGTGTAAGATCTAAAGTGCAATTGATCTGGGGTAAGTGACCAGTCCTTTAGGACTGGCAGTAACTTGAATATTGTTGTGATCGATCACAAAGGCAAGTTTACCTGGCTGGCAAGATTGGAGTGCTCAAGGGTAGGGTTACCATATGTCTGGCTTTTCCCGGACATGTCCGGCTTTTTGGTCCTCAAATCCCCGTCCGGGAGGAATTTCCAAAAAGCCGAACATGTCCGGGAAAATAGGGAGGCATGGTAAGGGGACCGCCTCCTCCCCAGGGTTCAACTTTCCCGGCTCCCGCCACTCTCCCCAGCGCAGCAGCAGCCGGAGCCCAGGAGGAGGCGGCTGCGAGCTGGGATGCCGCTGGCCGGCGCTGCTTGGCCAGGGCCGGGGCCGGGCCGGAGCCGCTCA